CTCTCACTACGCATGGGCATCATTTAGTGCTGTCACTTTACTTGTCCTGGCAGTCTGTTATATCATAATCATTGTGAATGTTCAAAGCAACCCTCATTCGCAACATCGTGGTTCAATTCACAAAGAAAGGAAACTATCCGTAACATTATTCATAGTCACTGGAGTTTCCGCTCTAACCATTTTTCCTTTGACTATTTTCAACTTCACGCCATTAGACGTACAGGAAAAATTGGACAATGCGTCAAGCGTTGATGTCCATGAGATGCTGTCTGTTATATATTTTGCCAATTCCATTGTAAATCCTCTTGTATATGCCATACGAATGCACGAATTCAGAAAAGCGTTTCTTAACTTGGTATCACGAAAGAGCCAAGCCAATCAAAGACAACAGGCGGGAGCTGGGCAGAGAAGAGGTCATCGTTCACAACCTCAAACTGTGTTGTAAATTTTAAACTGCCAAACACTCGAAACTGTGCCGGCTAGACCTACTTTGGAAGCCACCGCTCCCACACTGATATTAGAACTTTAAAAACTATCCAGGCGCACTGAGACTATGCAAGTCATAAGGACCAAGCAAATAGCACGACTTTTTTTTTGCCTGCATGTTTTCGATGGAAAACTTCGACTATTATCTTGTTTTAAAACGAACATCCACAATCATGATGCGGAAATTACATAACCTTTTGATCTCGAGAGAGTGGCAAGTCGTGCAGTCTGCAAACACAGATTAGGAAATTATTTTTAGAAAGTAAATTTTATTTATTCAAGGTGGCCCACTGTATTCAGTTGCATAGCTGTCTCTAGCGGCACCCTGCCCTGACTAGAAATAATAAAAAAACACAAGGGATAGTACGAGGACAGAATTGTAATGGCATGGGCGGATCCAGGATTTTTCAAGAGGGGGTAGATGGTACCTTTGGGTTGTGGAATTAATGGGACATGCCCAAAACTGACTGTTTCATTTGAGAATTGGAACCTAATTCAAAAATGTTACACCATAGATACTAGCAACGTAACAAAGTAGAAATAACATTGAGGTGACTGTACAGTGTTTCCCTTCATTTCTGCTATAATATTCACAATCTATTTCATTTTGTTATTTTTTGCTTCTTCGATAGGGAGGTTGCTAGCCACCCAATCCATCCCCTAAATCCGCCCTTGAATGGATTGTAATCTTCTTTCCTTTTTGAATCTGCAACTACGCCTGTCTGAACAACATATATAGATTACTTCATGGTCGGTGAGTGCGTACGATTTTTATTCACGAGTTGTGAAGAATCGCAAACGAACGAGCGAGTCTTCGACTGAGTGAGTTTGCGATTGTTCGCAACAAGTGAATAAAAATCGTACAAGCGAACCAACCATGAAGTTATTTGTTTATTTTATAAGTACAGAGATTTCTTTCAAACAGTAATGACAATTAACAGCGATAAGACAATGAAATGAGTTTTATTTACTCATACGCTCTTTAAAAATTCAACATCTTTTCAAAATTTC